CCTATTAATTTTATTCATTTTATTTAGATTATTCTGCTCTTCTGTGCTAAACACTGCAGGTGCATGAAGATGCTCTGTTGTTCTGTTCCGCTATTAATATATAAAAATAAATCAGTATTTTAAAATGCAATATTTAACGTGTCAGACACAAAATAGACACGTCAATTTGTTTAATATAAAATTAATAGTAATCTGACCAGTTAACCGTTAATAACCGATTAATGAGCGGCGGTTGTCGGTTAGCAAAATTAACGAAATGAGCATCCCTAGTAGCTATTTAATTTACTTTTTCTATGTAAGAGAACTTGATTGAAAAAGAATTTTCAACATGCTTGAACCATCTACACAATGGAGTTTAGTTCTGTTTGGTTTTTCAACAGTATTTTGTTACAAAGAAAACAGAAGTGATATAGCTTTGGCTATTTATTTATTTTATATATGGCTATTTATATTGTTAATAATTTGAATAGTTAATATTGTTCTTTGATGTTTAGTTTATAAAGATTTTTCAAATGTTATTTAATAAAAAATAGTTTTAAAAATCTTTTTTTTTCCACCCCACACGAAAAAAAAAATAAAAAATCGTGATACAAACCGAATCGTGGGTCAAAAATCGTGATACGAACCGAATCGTGGATTTGGTGTATCGTTACAGCCCTAATATATATATATATATATATATATATATATATATATATATATATATATATATATATATATATATATATATATATATATATATATATATATATATATATACACACATACATGGGTCATTTCCTAATTTATTTAATAATATTTAAAAAATACTTTAAATACTTTTTTTTCAACTGTATTTACTAATGCATTCTAATTGTTTAAAACATTAAATTTAAATTATTTTAACGAATCTATTACATTAAACCTTAAAAACAATTCCATTAATAAAACAATGTCGAATACACTAGTCATGCTGAACCAGACTTCGCCTAGATTTGCACCCTGACGTCATCTGCTTTGTCCCCTTTTCATTAAGTGACAGTACGTATATTTTTTATAAATCAGATTTATTTACAACTTTTAATAGAAACATTTAATTTAAATTAGCTGTTTTTGTCACTCAAAAATAAAACTAACAAACAAAAGATATTTATATTAAAATAGAAATGAGAATCTCTGTTAAAGGCATTCCCCAAACATTTTCCCTCTGGCAGGCTAAATCAAAGGATATATAAAGGGCCAGCTTTGGCCCGCGGGCCCTTGTTTGGGCATTACTGCTTTGGAAAATCCAAAAAATTACATACAGCAAATTCATTCACAAAACGCATCAGAGCCAATGCTTTGGAAAAGTAACGTGACTGTCTTTATGACCGTGATTGGCTAGCATCTGCTCTAGTGTATTTGATCAAACTGGATGACACCTGCATGACTATTCAAAGTGCTTTGCTGAAATGACCCACTGGGTTCCTGAGTGCTCATTGTGTGAAAGACTGCCATGTTCTTCAATTCAAAGTTACATGATCTGCACAGCGCAACATCAATCAAAAAGTGTCATTGCAGAGAATTAAATAGATTTATAAGCAATGATAATGGTGGTGTTTTTTTAAAAAATGCACTTTGAAACACTTTGAATGCACTTTTGAAAACATTTTCAAAACTATGTCTTCAGTCCCCTAAAGTCTGCTGTCATGTAAACAAATGGACTGTGTTTGGCTGAGAATGTATTAAATATTATCTAATTTTGATCAGTGTTCTTTTCAAATACATCCAATTCGTTTTAGACAGTGCTTCGGAATATAACTCATGAAATATGTTTAAATACTGCTCCTCTACTGCTGTTACGTCAAATAGGATTAGGCAGTGACCTTGAAATTTAAATAGTAGGTTGTTCACTGATTTGATCTCCACTGTATATACACACACATACATTGCACATTACTTGGGTATCAAAGCTGAGTGGGAGAGAGAGCTCATGTACCAGGCCCAAGCTGGCATTTCATTTCCCAACTAAGCAGCTGCCTCAACATAAACAGGCTTTCATAAAGCAAAAGATTCCATCATCTCTCAGATAACATCGCTTTACTTCTACAAACACTGATGCTTCATTATATTACAGTATCAACTAAAATCCAACTTAAAATAAGAAATAAAATTTTCTGAGTTCTTGATCAACACATCAATCTGGTAGAGAGATTGATAAAGAAATGACACCATTCACTAATAATAAGATCCAGGAACTCAATCCACCATGGAAATCTGACTAGAAATGCATCGATCGACTGACCAGGCAATATTGTTAGAATATTAATATTATTATTATTATTATTATCATCATCATCATCACAATATGTCCAGTATTCCTCAATAAAAAATATTTTTTTTAAATTTAACAAATTACTAGCCTGAAACTTCACCCCTCATTTAGCACCAAGAATTTAACACATTTTTGTCGTACAGGCACAGAATAAAAGTGTCTGTTAGGGGAAAAAATATATATATAATAAAAAGTAATTTTATTGTATGTATATGAATCTCGGCAGGTATATCAATATTGGCAGTTCACACTTACAAAATAATTATAAAATAAAAATAAAAATTGGAATCAGCCAAAAAATAATAATTATTACAAGTTCATTGCTAACCTGGCAGCAATGGCCAGTGTTAGAGAATCCAGGCAATGAAGTTTTGACTGCATTACATTTATGTGTAATTGAGGGCAGTGATGGTGGCGCAGCACTTTGAAACTCGCTACAGAAGGACAGGCTGCAGTGTCCTGGTTAGCAGTCCCAGATACAGCAGCACTCTAAGGAGTGAAAGGAACCTGCCTCCGTCATATGAAATGGGTCAAAACCTTCATTTCCATGGGTGCAAATAGAACAAGTTCTGCCGAATACTTATGCAGAATATAGTGCCCTCAAAAACCTCATTAAAATGATGCATTCAGATGTTCTCCCCAGTTTTACAACATTTCCACAGTTGGGCCTAAGAAGCATACTAATGTGTGGCAGAGTCAGTTTTCACAACGTTTACTTTAATCCTGTGTGTAATCTTCATTTGTTGCTTTTCATGTAGAACAATGCCCTCTGTCCCACGGCAAAATGTACATTTAAAGGGATAATTCATCCCAAAATAAACATGCTGTCATAATTTATTCACCCTTCACTTGTCAGAAACCTGTTTGTGTTTATTTCTTCTGTTGAAGATTGTTTAAACTGTTTTGGTAACCAATAGCCATTGACCTCCATTTCTTTTCAGTGAATTATCCTTTCAAGCTGACAGCACTAAAATAATGAAATGACTAGCTGAAAGTTCTGACCTAAACCTGATTGAACATCTCAGAAATCTAAATGAAAACAAGGATAGGCTAAGAAACCTTACATTTCGCAAAGAAAACACGTTCCGCCAAATGTTTAGGCGAAATTTAAAGGGAAATTAAATGATTTTAAATCACACTGAACTGAGCTGAACTGAACTGAACTTAAACACTAAAAACTGATCTACCCTGTTCCAGTTACTATGACCATTTATGTGAAGCTGCTTTGACACAATCTACATTGTAAAAGCGCTATACAAATAAAGCTGAATTGAATTGAAATTACTCATGATGTATTTTTGATGTTCTGACCAGGTCACGTCTTTAAAAGAGTAACCCAACAATGACTGAAGCCACAAAAACTAGAGGATCCATTAAATGCCAAAACATTTCCGGCCAATAAATTTTCGGTGGGCAAGAATTTGGTACATCTCTAATGTTAACACACTCTTAGATTCCTATTGTTGCACATTTCTGCCGTGCGATTGGCTCTCAGATCAATATAGAGTAAAAAGTTCAGAGCTTATCATTGTTATTGACATATATTTTATCACGATTCGATATAATATTTTTAATCGGCCCAGCCCTACCTTTTTGCAGTTATCCGCAAGTCTCTAAAACAGCCTCTAATTGCTTTAATAAATACACAGCCAGGCCCGTAGCCAGCCTAGTGAAAGTATTGATTCTTTTTTCACAAAAAATTTCTAGCCTCTCTTGCAAAATAGTACATTTAGAAATTCATAGATAACAACATTAGCCTAGCGAGTATTAAAACTAACTTTTATATGATTCAAAAGTATCTTTTGGTGCTTAACACCTTTTTATTGGTCATTTTTTCTAAATAAGAGTAAAGTCCAAGGTTTAGAATAAAAGTTATTTGTAAAAAGTATTCTGTATTTACCACAACAACAATACAGTAGATCATTAGCAAAAACTATAGAATGCCTTAAAGGGACTTTGTCATTTGATTGCGCTTGCTCTTAAAGCCTTCTTCTATGAGATATTTTCACAATTTATGATGGCATAGCAGTCAAAATAGGACAAATGAGCTTATGTATGAAACAAATTCTGGACCTTTGTCTTTCCAACTCCTCCTGGCTACAGATCTCAAAGCCCTATAAAAACATCTGAAAAAACACTTAAGAACTTCAAGACATGTCATATATGATTGTAAAGGTGCATTTATGTGGTTTGATATTTAATGTGACTCTTTTCTGGGACTATTTTGATCAAACTAAACTCCTTGATTACAACGTTCGGAAAGATTTCATTTTATTAACCAGAATTACTTCTAAATATAACATAATATTACAACAAATCTGACTGAACCCACACAATCTGGAATTTGGTTCCACTCAGATTAAACTGGATGATAAATATCTTCTCGTATACACACTTTTAAAGTACTCAAATTATATGGAATGGCTTGGTAGAATTTTTTTCCTTGGTAATAATGGAAAAAAATATCCATCTGCTTAAAGCAGGATTTAAACCAATACATTTTCACTTTGTGGTTGTGCTTCTGGACATTTTGGCACACATTTAAATCAAGCATCCAACATGTGTCTGGACACCTGCAACTTTTATCAACAAGTGCTCTGCCACATTGTGCATATTAAGGATATAAAATGTCATAATAATATATCCTAGTACATATTAACTAATTCATTCTAAAATCTTAATTTATGCAACAACAAAAAATTCTTACCAGCTGAAGTATATCTTCATCTTTTGGCATAACACACAACTCCAGAAATGTATGACTGGAAGAGGAACAAAACATTTAGTGGCCCAATCAGACAAGCATCATTAAAAGTCAATGAATGACATCAGCACACTCTTAACCTGTTCTGGATGAGCCCTATGACCTGCGAGTACGTCTTTCCAATGATGCTCTCGCCATTCACTTTCACTATCCTGTCCCCTGTTGACAAATCACCATTATCAGGCTTTAGATTATCAGACACAGATATACAACAGCAAAGTGTGGTCTATTTGGAGTGATGGTATAATAATTACCAGTGCAGAGTCCGGCACTGTGAGCAGGCCCTCCCTCTTTGACCTGCTTCACAAAGATCGTGTCCATGGGCTCCAGTCTGTTCCGCGGTCTCCCTGGCAACAACAAAAGCAGCAGTGTGTACGAGTGGCCCAGATCACAACAAACCAGTGCAGGAAACAACCGAGCAGTCACAAGATTGAGCCGCAAAAATATTTTAATCTCACCAGCTTCAAAATAAAACATTTAACCCATCAATACAGCAGAAATGCCGCTGCTATATCTGGAAGTGACCCAGCATTCGATGAGACATCCTTCAGACCCTTAGGAAGCGCTATACTTGGCTTCATTCTGACTTAATATTTCAGAACACAGATGATAGATTTAATAGTGAGCAACTAACACTACTGAATCCCTAAGGATGACAGTTATGAGATCTATTTACACTGATAGGAATAAAAATCTCTCCACAACATTGTGAGTCTTATTTGGTAAATAGCATTGTTTTAAACTGTTGAATGGCAAATAAATCTTTCTGATTTGCATAATAAAATACATAGTCTGACACTGATAACCTTAAAATGAAAAATCTCATTTAATGTCAGCATGCAATCCCTCTTCGACAAATCTAAAAATATAAAAGAGACCAGTCAACATCATTAATTCACAAATTCTTGGTTTGGTAGTTTGTTTACACAGTAAATATACAGAATATCCATACTGGTTGTTACAGGATGCATATCAGAGACTCTCTTCTATATAAGTTTTGGGTTTTTAGGCTGACCTCATATCCATTTGTTATGATTAATAAAAATAAATAAATAAAATAATTAATTAATTAATTAATTAATTAATTAATTAATAATCGAGTTAAAACCTTTTTGCTTTGAAATGTGTCAGAATCACAATTTAACCAGACATGTTTGTGTTTGTATTATTAAAGTTAAAGGTTTAAAGGAACTGCATCAAAAAACTGCAATAAAATCTAATAGTAAGAATCATTAGCAAACCTAAATCATCAAAAATCAATGACAAAATCATACAATGACTGAAATGAATAATTAAATAAAATTCCTGCAATAAATTGAGGCATTTTTGTAACAAAAACATCCATAGACAAGATTTGTGGTTTGGGTGTATTTAGCGCCACGTGCTGGACAAAAGAGTGTACAGCATGTGCAACTGAAATTAATGCAGTGAAGAAATAACGTAAACTTACTCCTCTCCAGTTGGTGGTGGTAAATGCACCAACAAATGCACAACACAAGACAGTAGTCTGAAAGTTACACAAGTTTTATTCATTTTAAATTATATATATATATATATATATATATATATATATATATATATATATATATATATATATATATATATATATATATATATATAGTTTGAAATATTTCAATATTTGAAATTCAATATTTGAAATTATAACAGAATTGTAAGATTTACATTTTCAATTCATTATCATACTAATGTAGATTAAAGAATATTAAAGGAGAATTGAATAAATAATTACAGTAATCGGTGTTATTAAACTTATCCTTTTATTGGCAATAAGGCCCACATGGATACTGCGTGCGCAGAAATCCACAGATTTTTAGCTCATCGAGTTATGTATTTGCTTGTGTAAATGGGTGTAAAATTATATTAATTCAGTTTTGAAATTCATTTCACTAATATTATTGTGATATAATTAAAGTAATATTAAAATGTTCATGTGATTTGTTTATAATACAGTTTGTAAGGTAATATATTCTGTCTTTTAGTAGATTTATAATCATGAGAGACTTGCTTTTGCCAAATAAGTGCATCTAATTGGATTTGCATTGTAAACATTACAAATAAAAGTTTAAAAAGTATTATTTTTCAAATTTCATATACATTATGTTTTAGTTACGAAACTGCTAAAATCTTTCTAAATAAATCCACAGATTTTTTACAAAATTCTCTGCAGATACAGCAAAAAAATTCGACAGATTCTGTCTGACCCTAGCAAAAAGGTGCAATATCCGATTTTTTGCTGGTCTCAAGTAGTCAGTTCAAATAATTTTTAAAAACCATTGAAGACCATTAGGAATTACATTTTTGACTTATACAGGGTTAAAGACTAAAGATTTCTTTAATGGCCCAGTATTATCATGAAGAATTGTGTAATCGTTTTTTCCCATCCAACAGCTGTTGTAAACTGTATCGGTTTGCAATAAAAAATACTTGAAATATAAAAAATAAGGTTTTATTGAGATGTATTGTTGGTCATCAGATGGATGCCTGCCCAACTGAGTAGCTTTCATTGGACAAAGCAAAATTAAGAACTGTTTAAAATAATTTAAGACACAATATTTCAGTGAATTTAAGACTTTTTAAGGTCTAAAATTTAGTTTTAAAACTTTAGGACCAAGTGTACTCCCTTTATATCCAGTACATGGTTTTACCCATTACTATGATTAACTAAAAGTACAACAATGGATCATATATATTTTAATTAAAAACAATTAATCAGAAAATTTTATTGTAATTTTAAATGTTAAATGTAAAACCTAAATGTAACTATCATATCCTCAAAGTTAGGAAACAAAAACATGTTTCTAGCCATACTTTCAGCCTTAATTAAGAAAAAATTTTAATTAAAATTAAATAAGGGAATGTAGTCGAGCTGCCAGTGCACACATAAAAATCAGTGTTTAGGAACAGAAAACTGATCCCACATTAGGACAAGTGCAATAACACAAGAAGGTCATCCAGAACATTTCAGTAACTGCATAATGTGCCATACTGAGTGATGACATCTTCGTCATAAAACTGTAATGGTTTCAGACCTCAGACATGACTGTGTGTAACAGGTTGCAACTGTGTGTTTCTTTCTTTGTGCTTTAGGTCTTGCCTATAGAGATACTACAACCCGTCAAAGCCTGAGGCAAGATATTCACTCATCACAAATGTGAAAAAACGAATATCAACAATGAGTGCAAACAGAACAGACAGCAGCACCAAATAGTACACAGTTTAGATGTAGTATGAGATCTACTAAAATTTATATGACGCAAGTTTAACATAACGACTTTTAAGACAAAAAAAAAAAGGTCAACCAATAATATTTTTGGAACACTATAGTTACATTTATAAAATTAAAAAAATTTAAGTTTGTGATGCAGAATTTTATCAGTTAATTCAAGAATGTCATACAAGGGGGCACTCTATTTAAACTAAGTTTGCATACTCTAAAGAGTGCCCATATCAAAATACTATAGTAGAAAAGAATAGTATGCTTGCTAGTAGGAACGTGTGATTAATTGAAATCGAATTGCAATCACGATTTGAAATGTTACAATTAGCCAAGCGCAAGACGATGCGAAATGAAAAATTCAAAAATACGTATTAAAATAAAAATTATATATAATTAAATTATCCCTGACCACTTTCCAATTAAGTGAGCACACGATCGTTTTAGCGAATCAGAATTGTGCAACCGAACTATGCAGAGTGCTTACAATAGAAAAATAAACAAACATGAAAGCGCTTACGAGTAAGATGATTTCATTTGCTGCTTCAGAAGCATTAACAGATGAATTAATATCAAAGAAAAATAGAACATCTGTAATATGGGAATATTTTGGTTTTAAAATCATAGGGCCCTATCATACAACCGGCGCAGTGTGGCGCAAGACGCGGCGCAATAGTCTTTTGGTAGTTTCAGCTTGGCGCAAGAGTCGTTTTGAGGCGTTGTGCTACGCTGTTTAAATAGCAAATGCATTAGCGCTCATTTGTGCGCCCATAGGTATTCTGGTCTAAAAAGGAAGGCATTCTGAGGCGCACTGCTGGCGAGTCGCTATTTTGAGAAACTATAACAGATTTTTCATTAGACCAAAACTAACCCAGTCTAAACTCCAGCGCAGAGGTGTGCCTTGCTTACGCACTGCTTAATACGCACAAGAGAGCAATAGACAAATATCTTTACATATGAAAAAATTTAAATATTAAGGATATATATAGGATATAATAAGAATAGATATAGGATATAAATATAAAGGATTAAAATATTACAAAACATATTATTTTCTAGCCTACATAAATATGAAAATCACTGCTTTGTCGTCTTCTTCATCTCGGGAGGCTTTTTCAGTTCATTCATAACAATTTGCTTTTGTATAATGTTATTATTATTAGCAGTATTATTTATTATATCCATATTTATATTTGTTTTATTAAAAACAGGCTTAGATTTGCACACCTGTCAAGTTTAAGACCATATCGGGCATGGCAGGTGTATTTGGAAATAACTCAGTATTTTGACCACACTTGGTCATTATTGTTCATTTATTCGTTTGCTAGAAATTAGAACTGAATTTAGAAATAGTTTTGAAACAAATCTTTGGGCTTAACAAACGAAATTAATTATTTATAGGCTAATTGATGTCTGTGCGTAAAGGTTTCCCTATCCAAGAGCGAAAGTGAAAGTAGTTCCATTATCTCTCATTCTCACGCAGTAGATGCTCTGTTTAACAGTTTTCTGTTAAAAAATTGTTAACTGTTAACTGTTTGCTTGTGAAATGCTCATTTTTTCCACTTAGACTTACTTTGCGTCCTGTAAATAGCGAATGCGCTCTTGGCGCGACGCAGCTGACTCTTAAAGGGAATGGGAGATGAGACTCTAATTGGTTTATTCTCAAAACACACCTGTAACTCATTAAGAAAATAAACTCAACCCTTTTAGACCATGCGCCTTGGCGCAAGGCAGATTTCCCGTCCTTAAATTAGCAAAAACGCGTCCTGACACGCCCTGAAAGCGTTTGCGCCCTGCGTTTTGCGCTCTGCGTATGGACCGTCAAAATAGAGCCCATAGACAACAAACAAAAACAGGTAGTTTGTACGAATTGTTGCCACAGCACAAGGTAATACAACAACCACCACCTAAAAGGCAGCTATATAAGGTGTCTTTCTAAAAAGTCAACAAAGTTTTGCCAGTTACACACAATCTATAGCAACAGCAAAGTTCAATTTCAGAGTAGTTTCAGCCATGTTAGTTTGCTAAGTGTTCTGTACTTTTATAATAATTATTATTATTTTTTGCTTGTATAATAAGCTACACTATCGTCCCTAATTTGAGTTCAACTTG